AATGTTTTTTTTTCCCAGAAAAGTTTTTCAAAGCATCCTCGCTTTGAATATAACAATTTTTAAAACTATTTTCTTTTCTAAAATGAATGCTAGAATAAATTAGGTCCAGTCAGAAAGAAAAGGTGTACAGGTCAGCTCTTTTGTTAACCATCTGAGTTTCATTATATATGCTCTCTGTAAGACTTTCAGAGGTGCTGACATCATACACTGTGCTTTCATCAACATATGTTGCACTTTATTGGAGCATGGGAAATAATGAGTCTCTCTTGACAGACCAACACACAGTGGACGGGAGATAAGCACTCCGCTGTGTGCTCTTTTTCATTGTGGATTGGTTTACAGTGATGGGTTTTCCTTGGCTTCTGTTGAAGTATACAGCCTTACTAAAACAATATACATGCTCCACTTTCACACATTTTTTATTCCTAAAAAACTTCACTGGCTTCAGTATATTTCAGTTCTGAACATCCGGTGTCTTTGTTAAGCAAAAGTAGACATATTTATGCATTAGTTCCTCTTTGCTGCACAAGACTACTCTTAAATGATCTATGTGTTTCACTTTGAACTTTGTGCTGCTATCATTGTGGAGACTTTGCATTTTGTATGGTGACAGTGGGTGTCAGCTCTCTTATCTAGCTTCTGGCCTGAAAGCAAATTAGCAGAATTCCTAACGTGTTGCGGTGTTTGTTTTAGCATGGAGCAAATATGCTTTTTACAGAAACCATTCCCACAATCAACCACATCCGACATTATTGTCAAAAGGAAACATTTCTGTTGATAACCTCTGTGTAGATTTAAAAGCGTTTTGATTGGCTGCTGAGCATTGCATGAAAAGCCCAGCCCTCGTGTCTTTAGTCATTGTCTGGCACAGTGTCTCTCACTCACTGTCTCTCACTCTGCCTCTCTGTCTCACCCTGACAACAAGATAGTGAGCTGGAAGCCTAAATCACCTGGAAATCTGAAACATTTGAGGTAATGATAGTTTTTCCTCTTTGGAACTATACTGTTGCATTAAATGTTAAGTATCCCAAAAAAAAAAATCAAAACAAACAGAAAATATATTAGCATGTGTGGCACGTTATTGAAAGTGAAGCTCTGTGTGGCCAGAAGAGTTCCATGTTGGTGACAATACTGGCTTTAATAGGGTAAATGAAGTAGAAGCGAATAAACGTTTGCTTGGCCAGTGCACTTGCCACTCTGTGTGACCTGGTTTTCAGTGTGTGGGTGTGTTGTACGTATGTCTGTCTACTATGGTAGCCCCAAGCTGAGAGTGAGCCTGGAAGAACCATTTGATTACCCAGCTAGGGTCAGTGTTCAGCTGATAACAACAGCAACTTAAAAAAGCAACTTTTTTTGGTTTGACTGTCTGCAGGGATGTGATGGCACTTTTACTTAGTGGCTGCATCTTGTGTGTTTAAAATCATCACAGCAAGTGAATTAAGTTTAATTTAATTAAACTTTGTTTAAACTGTATCATTGCAATCCTGGTTAGATAAGACATGCTAGTCTGTTTACAAAAATCAGTCCCCACTTGTCCATGTGTGATGCCTGTGGTGTGAAAAGGCTGCCCCATCACTTTTAGCTAAGAGTGAGCACAGCTTGCCATCATGCTGCTCAGAAAACCGCTTCAAGATTTAAGGGTCCTGTGTGCAACTTCTTCCCCGGACAAACCAAAATGTTCTTTACCCATAATTGGGTGGGTTACAACGTGGGTCACAGCTTTTGTCCTCACATGGCATCGACCTCAATCAGAGCAGTCACAAACTTAGATGAAGTCACACTTTACATGTTGTCTGATGTACCTGTGATCCATCTTCCCTTTGATTGACCACATTTCCTTCTCATTTTAGTTGTTGTTATGACTTCCCATTCCATGGTAGGTAATGCTGCTGTTAGAACTACACCCAGGCTTAGACACATGGTATTATAAACTTAGGGATTCCAAAATGGGATTTCAGGCTGTTGAAAATATTGACTTGTCCATACAGGCCTGTTGAAGGGCGTAGCATAATGGTATTATTAATTAATTATTTACACATTTATGATTAGTGGACAAAATGATTAATTAGCATATTCAAAAGGAATAACAAAGGTTACACATGTACAGACAAGACATACTGCCCCATTTGGGCACATATTTTTGACGATATCCTGTTGGACCTGTTGGTTAACTTTCACATGAGCAGGTTGCCCTTGTTATTTGTTGGATGTACCCAGTGAAGTACAGTATAATCAGAAAAAAGAGGTAATATTAATTTAGAAGTGGCTCATAACTTTTAGGCTCTTAGACATATTCTAATCGATTTGATCATTATAAAGTCAATGAATCCTATTTAGATGGCATTGAGACATGGAAGTGAAAATATTCCCTTCATCATGTATCATATCAGTGTGTAAATGGATCACACTCAGTGTTCACACTCAGTCAAGTGTCATCCCAGACAAACATGTATATTATATGTATTATATGTGCGATGTCCATGTCCTGCTGTTGTTTATGTCAGTGTGACTGTGATGTGTTATTAGATTTAGTTACTGAGCAAAGTAAGCAAAAATAAAGCAGTTCTTTGCTCAAAGGTAGAGTTTCTTGTCAATTATAAGTTTAACTAAAAACCCACAATGAAACCAAGAAAGGTTTTTCAAATGTTTAGATGTCAGTGATCCTTTGAATGGAGCACTTTGTCTGTTTCATCCCTCTGGGAGATGTGCTGTCTGTGTGAATGTAGCACAGAGCCTTGAAAAGAGTCTGCAGACATCCAACACACACTATTTGACTATCTCTCTCTCTCTACACACTCTCACATTGCCCCCCCCCCCCCCCCCTCCCCCTTTGGGTCTGTGTCGGTCCCACATTCCAGCTGTGGCCCATACATTGGGGGAGTTTACTGAAGGCTATAGGCACTTTAACAGGTTTTCTTTTAATAGTCATCATTCACCACCATAGTGACACCAGAACCACACAATGAGTATGTGTGCATGTAGTGGGCATTTAATTCCTGCAAGATCTATAGCGTAACATGCTCAGCAGCTATTCAATTTCATTTTTGTTTTATTGATGTTCTTTAATATATTTATTCTCTACCCATAACCCTTAACGTAATTTGAAAGAAGGGACTGTGTCAGAATAAAACAACTGTAACACCGACAATGAAGAAAACACAATAAAACCTGAGTGGTAAATGAGACGAGGGAGATAAGCGAGAATTGAACAAAAGAACATTTACATTTTTCATGGAAATTTATTGTTTTATTTCCATGCTGTCTGATCCCATCTTCTATTCAAATCCTGCAAACCCACAAAATTGGAAAAATGCAAAAAACATGAAAATGATCTTCTTTGTGTGTGTTGCTTCTGTTTTCAGAACCTGCAGCTGGATGACGATGCCAGGGACCCAGGTCCAGACAGAGCTAGCCCACACAGGGACACACATGGCCCTATAAGCTGTGACTGTGACCATCCTATCAAGGAAATTCCTCGGTCCTCCAGGGTCGCTTTGGTGGGTTTTTTTATCTGCTGGTTTTTACAGCTGCACAAGCTTCTGTTTCCACAACACACACGCACAGAGCACATTGTGTATGGATGAGCTGTGCTAGTCAGTCAAGAGGTCACTGGGAACTGAGCTGCTATTTGCCTGGGGATTGGCCTACATCCATTATGGTACAACAAGACTAAACAAAACTGTATTCTGTTGATGCAGTCATGCTGACAATGAATGTTTTTTAGCTTTTCTTTATAAGTTAACGTCTATGGAATATACTGTAATATTATGTCCTGCTGCTTTATTTAATAATTTATTTCCTGTTATATTAGCACAAAGTCTTTACATTAAAGGCTATAGAAAAGGCAATTGTGTGATATTTTATTCATAGAATTCCTTACTCGCGATTCTTCTCCCTAATCTGTCAATAGAGTGAAGTATTTTGCTGTATATTGTTACATTTGTATTTTGTCCTGTCAAACCTGCAGTAAGACACAGGACACAGAAGGACACCACAGGGAGACATAATGGCCACTGGCGAAAATCAGACCCAAGTTGGACATGGAATTCTGGCTCAGAATGTTTCCCCTACAAACACGGGGAGTAGACCCAGCAAAGACGCCAAGCATGCAAATTATGGCCAGGAGGCATGGCGAGGGTCTGACCAGCCTTGGCTTTCCAAGCAGCGAAGCAGCCCCTCCCTCCTCCTCTACAGGAAGTTATCGAGTGAAAGTGTGAAAGGGACAATTTTGGATGAAGAAGACAAGGACTTTGATTACAGCTCGAAAGTAATAACTACCAAAGAAAAATATTTTGCAGGACTTGCAACTGGCAATAATTTTGAAGGAATTAATCTGGTGTCTGAGCAAAGTATGAAGGGATCCATGTGGCAGGACGCCACTGCTGATGCTGTGCATACAAGGGGAAACAGAAATGGCAGCACCCGCTATTCTTGTGATATTTCTAGCTTTACTACAAGTTCAAACACTAACTCTTACCAGAGTCCGACATCCAGTCCAAGCCCCAGCTCTAGCCCTGGTCAGAGTCGTTATTCCGGCCTCTCTTGTCCCAGCAAGAGACACATCCGCCGTGGCAGTCTGCCTGTGTCTATGCTGGTTTTCCACAAGGTAATAAAGAATTACATTACAATCACAACAGCATTTTAAGCTTTAGTCCTAATTTGAAGCACTTCTTCTACAGGTTCACAGAAACATATATTCTAGGTGTCTAAAGCAATTCTGCTATGTTTTATATTTATAGACATCACCGATCCTCTCATCCCGGTGCTCTCCTTCCAGTGAACCGAGCTCATTAGCATCATCTCCTGCGGGTTCCCCTCTGTCCAAGCATCGGCAGCATCACCAAAATGGACACATCTCCCGGTATCGACTCAAAGATGGATACTCAAGTTTAGAGAGACTAAACAGGAGGCCCCGGGCTGACATCTGCTCTTTGGAGAAACTATACCTTGGACGAGCATCTCTTGAAACTGCAGCATTGACCCTTGGGTCATCCTTAGGGGGGACCAGGGACAGCAGCAGTGATGAGGTGGATGGTGAGAGCCTGTTTGATGACACAGAGTTTGTTCGGAACCGTAAAGAGCGATCCACTGTCTTGGTGAGGCGGTTCTACAAGAATAACCAGAAGGTAAATGATGGAAAACTTCCATTTTCCAATTTGTATCTTGATTGAGTTTTAGGCTTTGACATTTTCTTTCTTACCTTCTCCGTTTTAAAGCTCTTATTGGCAGTAGTAAAATAATCAGAAATGTTGAATACCTCTTTTCATAAGGTGACAAAGTCTGTGTGCGCTGGTACCAAAGCCATCGTCAGAGCACTGCCTTCTGGACACATCTCAGAGGAAGTCTGGGGAATTGTTGTTGATCGCAGATTCTGGCATCCCAACAAGGAAGATTGCTGGCCAGTCTTAATGCGGGGAGAGGAATTCAGAGCTTGCAGAGGGATGCTTTGGTCTGTTAAAGCTGACCTTCAACAGGTAAAAAATAGATACAATGCATTTTATATTTAAAGGACGTATGCACAATGCTGTCGACTTGCCCAGTCCCAGGTAGTTTAAGGCAGTGAGTCAGAGCATCCGAAGGGATATAACATAAAGTCTTCTATGTTAATTTGAAATGAAACTGTAATTTATTGGCTTCTGACATAATCTTGGCGTTTATAGTAATAGAAAATTAAATCAGCACTGCTCCTCCAAAAATAAGATTACAGACTTGAAGTGCCACCTAAACCCAGTACTAATGTTCTGACGAGCTGCTCGGTCTTCTGGTCTCTGTATTCTGGCCTGTTTGTGACTTATCACTCTGCCACAGGGCAGGAGACAACACTACATTTCCATTTGCTCAAGTTAACCACAAACGACTGTGAGTGCACCATATATCTGAAGAAATTCAATGTCTTTGACAGGGCCTCATTACATTAGGGTTATATTTCTCTTTCTCATTGTATTTACTGGGTTTATGCTAGTATGAGGTTTGCATTTTAAACTCTTCTCCAACTGGTAAAAATACAGCCCTTAATTGCTGCAATGGCACTTGGGTTTTTCTGACATGACAGATTCTTGCTTCAGTGGAGAAAAATTGTTCTTGGCTATTGCTTGTCTGTGTTTGTGTTGAAATGTTATGCCTGTGATGCATGGAAGATGGATAATTTTTACAAGGAATATGTTAATCGACCAACATAAACTGTTCACGGGCACACACCAAAAACACTCAGAGACACAGGCTCTTTGTTTTCGAGGCAGGCTGCCTCTGTGGAAAAATGATTTATTCTGTGTTAGCTCCGCTACCCGTATTACTGACAGACTCAATGACTGAGCCTTCTGTGTGTGTGTGTGTGTATGTGTGTGTGTTTGTGCTTTTGGTACACATGTGTAAATGGAATGAGCAGAGCTTGCATCTGTATTAAATTTGCAGACATAGAAAGTGGACACAGGGCAAATTAGTGAGACAGAGAAGGAAGATGGAGGACAAGAAATAGAATGAGACAGATGAGGACCCGCAACATTACCGTGTTATCAAGTTTCCAAGCAAGAGTGTTATAAAAACATGAAAACCTCTTACAGGAACTGTTCAAGCTCAGCAGCCTTGGAGGCCACTTTTTGGAGGTTTCACATTTGCCTACCTTCCAGCAGAAGGTAATAACTAGTAATAACAGTGTTTTTTCCATCTTCGGGGCGCAAACACTGCTAGGAATGAGAAACTGCTATGTCACACAGGATCTCCCCCTGTTATTTTTTTGTTATCTTCTTCCTCTTCTTCCTGTAAAAACACATGAAACGTACAACCAAAATCGTATCTGGCAAGTTACAACAACTGAATTTGTCAAGATTTCTGGTGATAATAGAAATGCTTAGGTTGTTGTAGCATTACTCAGAAGTAATTATAGTTTTTTTTTCCTTTTTTTTTAAACAAAGTTCTTTCCTCAGTCTTAATCAGATCTCCACAATGTGTAGGAGTGTGTCAAGAGACACATGAGTCTGATAATGACGGCGTGGTTCTTATGTATCTCCACATATGATGGGTGTGCGGCATGTGTGTGCAAGGCCTACTACGTTCTTTTCTGGGGCATGAATAGCGACAACAGAGCCAAGTCGTGTGGAGGAGACTGGTACACTCACATCATAAAAGTACACACAGTAACCCTCATGTGCATTCTGCAATGTGGTTTCCAACTTTTCCATAGTTTATGGATCCTTTGCAGTTGCTGAAGTACGGGCCGTGCAAAGTCCAGGGAGAGCCGCTTTAATAATGAGCCTATTGAAAATGGTGGAGCTGCCAGCACTTCTCTTGTAAAAACACCATCTAAGTTCCCCGAGCCAAGAGTTACCAAAGAAACAATACTGGACCACAATAAATGAGTCTTAGAATTCTTAGTATGAGAACTTTAGATAGGAAGAGGCCATGGCATATAGGTAGAAACACCTGAAACACCAAATCAGTCTATTTAAACTTTAATTTGACCACATTCCACAGATGGTCAGAATAATATAGAATATAATTTTGAGTCCAAATCCAAAACATGGTGTGAAAAGTACAAGTTGACAATGACATCATTCATGTTGAACCAACACTTAATGCAAGGCACTCCAGCGTGTAGGCAATATTTATGCCTGATTCTGCGGTAATCATGGCGAGTTTTCAGGAGGTATGCTGTGGTGTTTATTGCTACAACTAATGAAGCCAGCCAAAGAACACAGGATTGGACGACGTACAGACTGGAGCAGGGCTTCAGTGACAGAATGAGAGTGAGGGAGAGGTAATGCTGACAGAGGCAGCGGAAGAAAATAGATTTTAACAGTAAAAAAATGACGCCCTCTGTTCAACATACAGGAAGTATGGAAGTTTTTTGCATCTATTCTCCTCACAGCAGCCCCAAAACTGTGGTTAAAACCCATGGGAATATGATTTCCACAAATGTGTCAGAAATGTTATGCAATTCAGTTGGAATAGAGCCTCTTTTAGTTGAGTGAATACAAAGCTTTTAACCTGACAGACTCGATAAAATAATCCTGTGCCCATTATGCTCAGTTTTTCTACCCTAAAAGCTCCTTATTCTCCTTATGCTTTAGACTTTATAATGTATCCCGTGGGGCCTCATCTGGATTTAACACCAACAATGCCTGATAAATTTCCAGCCTTCACCTTAAACACTGTTAATGCTCTTTGTGCATTTATCTGTGCCCCTGCAGCCATTTTTAAAACGGTAGATCCACTGTGTGTCAGGGAAGTTTATCACAGGATAGAGAAGTGTTCCATTATGTTGTTCTGGTTTTAGTGAAACACTGAAATACAGCTACACATCGGGTGTGGGGATCAAACAGTCACTGAGGGCATGCAGTGTTTTACGTTTATGGAATCTACAAATTATTTCCCTCTGGAGTCTTTTCATTTAACTTAATGACATGAATAAGCTGTAAGTGACAAGCTAACTTCTCTAAAATGGCACTCTGGGTTGGACGCTGAATTCTTGCAAATATTTCCTCCTTGTTTTAGAGCTTGCTAGTTGTTTTTAGGCACAGAGATACATTCTTTTCTCAAGGGATGCTCCATGCTTTCCTGTCTTCCTCAGTATATTTTGTCATAAGTACACTTACAGCCAAAATGCTTGCAGTTTGAATACAGGATTGTTTTTGGTGGGAAAGCGAAGACAACATTTCTTGTGCTGTATCCATCTTAAGCCACATGGGAGATTGTTAAGAGCTAAAACAGATTTATAGTTGTACTTACGAGTTAAAAATAAATCTTCTGATTGTTCTTTTAGAGACCTTGTTAACTACTTTCTTCTGTGTTAGCTGGTAGATGATTTTAACCCAAGTGTACAAACAAGCTTTCTGTGGTGTGAGCAACATTTAAATCTATTGAAACAGGCTAGATCACATTCTCCACCATTTGAGCTTGTCATCAGTTTTTGTCATCTCTTTTGCATCAAACTTGGTCTTTTGTTGCTGTAACTTTACAACTTTCCTTTAACTAGTGAAAATATCTTTTTATAAGAGTCTTTTGTATAATCTGCTTAGTTTAGAAATGTCTACTTCTGCTTTTTAAATGCCTTCTACACATTAAATGAATTGCATAATGATTTCAAACTAACAATATTTCTATTGTTTACATATTTCTCAGTAAATGTGATTGAAATGTCACATTCAGGCACATGCTTTATTACTGGGGAGTTATCTGTGGTCTGGTTGACAAGATGTCACCAGTTTTCATGACTTCTTGTAGATCATTCAGTTAGTTAAAACAGAAGCTAAATTTAAAAGTAGTGTGATGTTTGATTCAGTAAAACAACAATCTTTGTCATGTGCGTCACTTCCTGTCTGGGTGTGTTTGTAGATGGAGAAAGGTGCTTATCAGCTCACAGCATTTCTCTGTGTGTTGATAATGAAAGCCACTCATGCTTACACACTTACAATTCACATTCCAGGAATTTTCCTTTTTCTTTTAAACTAACAGCTAAACTGGTTTTGTAGGTAAACAGTCTTCAGCCCTGCACAGGTGTCCCTGTAAACATTTTCTATTAAAAAATAAGAGATGTTATTTTTCGTATTATTTAACTAGGGTCATGACAGTGCATTCAATTAATTTTAATTATTTTTGCTGAAAGAATTTAGAACAAATGTGATAAATATCCATAAAAAAGTAAAGTGCTGCATAAAATGAGTTTCCAAGTTATTGTTTTTCAGATCAGCAAATATTAACTCAGCTGTAATTACAGCCTAGTGTACATCCTTTGGGACTTATAAATTTTTGTTTGCTCTGGTTTGCTCCCTGCTCATTTGATATATTTGTTTCAGAAGAGTTAGTAGAAATCCACAGATAACTTCTGTAAACACATCCACACTGTGGTTACCAATTAGTGCTTCTTTGGGAGGTAGCAGGTTGCAGTTCCATGTAAAATGTCCAGCAAATATCAGGCTTTAAAACATAAACTCATTGCCAGGCATTACCATGAGGTCAGGCTTCAGAAATGAGTTTTTTGTGCATGTGCCACAGTAAATTAAATACATTTTTTTAGGTCATTATTTGATAACCTAATTCTTTCCTTTTCTTTAAATGTATGACTTGCATATGAAAAAGTGAGACCCTTTGGTTGCATTGTGTTACAGTTAAAGGCAGGAGCTACAATTAGAAATGAAAAATGTTTATAAGGTGAGCAGACATTAACAAAGAACTTAGTGGTTTCTATACACCTGCTGTTGTTCCTCACAGTAACCAGTAAGGAATGTGGTATCATCACATTTTTTATTTAGCTTATCAATCATCGGTTGAGTAACCTTTAGTTGTGTCATTGTGGCAGCCCAGGACGTACTAGAATGAAAGCTAGTTCTAAGACTATTGAAAGTCACTCTCATTTAACCTTATGTCCATCACTATTATATTCTCTGTGTGTGTGCTGTGCCACTACAAAGGAATGTGCCGAGCAGGCCACTTTCTCGCCCAGTTGGGTGTTATGGCTTAGTTAGAGATTAGAGTCTGTGAGAGTGTTTGAGAAACACTCTCAATTAGTCTGATGCTGGGTTAGACAGAAACAGGGTAAGACTGTGAGTATTTAGCATGCCTTTGTGAGGAGTACTGCTTTTTTAATGACAGCATCTCAGGCAATGTGACCCCTCCACTGTCAAAACATGACAAGCCTCCATCGCTAGCTGTGGAGCTTTTGATCCGTTTTTCCTGAATGTGCTAAAGCACCCGTTTTCCACAAAGCAAATTTCATCTGTTTGTCTGTGGAATGACATAAGTGTGTTATAACGGCGTGTGGGTACGGGTTCGCCACACAGGGTGAAAGAATTGCGTGTGCTTGCTAGTTTTTTGCACAGGCCTCTCACATCTTTGTGAGATTGTGGGAATTTGCACCCCTTCAGAGCTGGGAGTGTGTTTGTGCAGAGGTCTGGAGGCTGGAGTTGGAACAGAGAACAGAACATTGAGGATGCAAAAGTCCCCATCTGATTAATATGTAAAAGGCTTAATCCACAGTGGTAAAGCTACATTTACCAGCGTATCACACCCTGCTTTGCTTTGAACAACAGTCTGTGAACATTTGGTGAGTCAGCAGACCAGTTGCTGGTCCTTTGGGGGGGAAAATAAGCCCCATTCTTGTCTGATGAAAGAATCTATGAATCCAAGAAACACTACTCTTAAATTGCTCCTCTGTTTTCTTTTTTCCACATTGCTGAACATTTGTCCATCTTAAATTCAGAAACGTTGCCTCTTTAAAGGGCTCAGTTACTAACTAACTAACCATCCTTTTGAGTCGTACCGTACTTTTCCAGCCTCTGCTACTGCTGTCTTCATTTAAGATGGGTTGCAGAGAGCATATTCAAGGTTGGCCAGTATTTTAGTATTTCTAATCATTATGCTCTAATTTTGTTCATTCAATTCATTTTGTTTTTCCAAACATATATAGGAGCTTCTGTAAGTTTAGATTTATTTTGGAGCCATCAACCAACTCCCAAATGTTCTAACTTCTGGACCACTCCCAGATTTATCCTCATGGATTGCAGCATATGTCCAGCTTGAACACCTCGTCTACATAGCCGATCAACTTGTCACTCTCTGCACCTACAAAGATTTTTTACAATTCTAAACTAACTCCAACAACAAATGTATCCACCCGCTTGATTGAAGAGTGTTTGGGTTGCTGTGATGAGGCAACACTTCTGCTCCCTGAACCATGAAATCTTCATGGGGTCATGCTTTCACACTGTTGGAATCAGAGAATAACACATATAATGTGAAACAGTCCGTTGAGCTCCTAACCTTTTTGCTATGTGCTCATGTGGTTGTGTAAAACCTTAAGCCTGCAGGATGAATACTTTGGATCTTCTTTTTTTGAGAAGAAGTAAAATACATCCTTAAGAACATATCAAGAGGATTTTTGAGAGCCTACTCAAATATATATCTCAAGTTTAGCCTTTCATCTAGGATAAAAAAGTGGTAATACGGAGGGATTTTGTGCTGAAGTAAACATCATTAATCATCAAGCATTAGTTTAAAAATACCTTCTCTATGCCCATATGCTTTTCTTTTAAAGATTAAAGAGGGGAAATGTCTGATTTGAGTGGATGTATCCATTGGTACAGAAATCAGTCTTTGGTGCCATCTACTGGA